CCCCTCGGAAGCATTGTGACTTTTAGTACATATTTAGACATTATTTACCAACAGCCTGGTTTTAAATATATACGTTAATTGTGAATGTAAGTGTTCGAAACAAAACGGACATTTATAATTTCGTCTAGTAGCCATTCACAATGCACATAAATCATTTAATTTAAAAAGTTGCAACGCTTCTGTGAGAAGGGCATGACTCGAGTTTAATTTTGGCACCATCCTTCCTAACCGTGTAAGATACTAAACAAATACTAAATAATTAAAGCACAGAATTAAAAAGTAACTTTCATAATGATTTCAATCCACTTTTTAGTTCCTGTCCATATGGATATGTTAATTATAACGTGTGTAGATTGCTTGACTTTGCTGTAGCATAACTGTTGTGTCTCCCGTTTATGATTGATGCTCTATGATGTATGATTTGATATCTAACTCTGGCAAAATAATATTCATGTGGGGACTGTCTACTTTGCCATCTGTGTTTGCATATCGATTTTGGGCGTCATTTGTAATAAAAAAAAGTTATCATTAAAAAATATCCCCCTTACCAATTTTTTTTACCTGCGTGCGTTTGTTCACTGACCTTCATAAATAAATGCGGTTGAAATGCATTAAAACTAATTTCGCGAACAACAGAACACAACACAAACGAGCACAAGAACAGGCATGAATATAAGATATCATAGTAATAAGTTTTTACCCTTTTAGCTGGCACAAAAACTGACACCTTTATACAAGGGATCATGTTTGCAATAACCACAACACAAGCAGTCAAAAATGCAAACAAAAAGAAACAACTCTGATAATGATATGCACTGTCCTTGTCATCATGTTTGGCGTAGAACAAAATCATTTGAAAAACAGCACATTAAGTGAGCCTCATTTCGTGCGGAATCAGGCGACAAATGAGCGCGTCCACGGACGCATAAGGACCCCCCGTGTTGCCGTATCAGTCTGTTGGGGGCAAGTGCTGCGAGCGAGCACCTATGAAGGCCGGCACGGCACACGAGGGATCGTTGCTGGCCAACACTACGCCCAGACGCCGTTGTCTCTCCTGGGGGCGATGTTTACACAACCCGCCAGGTATTCTTTTGCGGCCGAATCAACGTAGGGGAGGCCCAGGATCAGTTCAGTTGTCACCGTGAGTGGGAATTGAACTCGAGCGCTAATCCAGAATAGACCGTACAACAATGATGACATCCCGATCCACAAATGGGAAGGGGAGACATCACGGCGATACCACTCGCCGCTGCTCCTGGTGCAATTATCTGGCGTGTTGAACACCTGAATGTGACATCGTCGTTCGTTGCTCTGCGTCTACATCAGCCATATACGAAAGAAACAAAGAAGACGGACTTCTCGTGAGTTTGAATAGCACGCCCGACTCTCATTGGCAGATGAGCTATCACAGTGGGGGGGAGGGAGGGGGCTGACAATGGGCACCCAATCGGATTTGAAGGCGGAGGGATATTCAAATCTGATTGTTCGTCAGGAAAAACTAAAATGGTTATGAGTGGTCGGTTGCAAAACCGCTTTGGGAATTGAATTGGGATTGGGTGGAGAGTCCTGGAAGGTTCGGGAAACGATAGGGCGGGGGGGAGGAAGAAGGGAATAAAAGGAGGGGTAAGAAGGGAGTTCGGGGCGGCTGAACGGAGGGATTCTTTGATGTTCTGATGCGCCTTGAGGAAAAGAGGTAATGAAGACGAAGTTCAAGGCTCGCCCGGTTGCTGTAACGCCTTTACGCAACCAACGCTGGGCAAGGTCTATCAACGCCAGTACGCAGCACGGTAATTTTTTTTCAGATTACATTGTGTTCTGTGTTGTATTGTTAAGCTTGCCAAGCCAACCGCATGTTTAGTATTAAATTTGTTGAGTTGTGTTTTTTTTGCAGTCGTTGTGGCAAATGGTGTCTTCAAATTGGCAGACGGCTGGATGGGTAAAAAGACAACAAGAGCCTATTGGCTCCCTTAACAAAGATTAGACGTTGGCAAGAATTGTTGATAGAAACCCGACAGTTTTCTATCGTGCCACATACAATGTCAACACCAGGATGCAGATCTCACTGGATAAGCCTCACGCTCACAACTATCTAGGGCCATCAAACCCAGCATCTGGATCCCCTTGCCACCCATACCTCTGTGTCTGAGCACGTCCAGCCCACGGGGGTCAATAGGCCCGAGTATCGGAACCACCTCTCCCAGTTTGGGTGATCAGCATTACTTGCACTCCTCCACTTTCGCCAGCACCTACAGGGCCTACCAGTCGATAACCTGCGGCTTTTTAAGGACTTGCAGTGTGGCTCTTGACATTCGAAAAAAATGTCTCTTCTTGTTATTTTGGTTGCCGACCCCTGACCATTCACGGCCAGTTCACCATGGAAGTTCATTTTAACATGGGCAGGAGTTGGAAACCTTGGCTCCAGAACCACATGCGGCTCATTAAAGGACTGTTTCGTGACGTTAATTTTTAAGGACCACCGTCTCGTATTCACAAGCATTGCGGCTCTTGAAATATTTGTTTTTACTGAATTCGGGAAAAAAAATGCCTCGTTGTTTTGGTTGCCAACCCCTGCCAATGGTAAACTGGACTTCCATGCTGACCTTGGCAATCAAGGGAGTACAGAGCGTTATACCCCAGGCCCTGATCCCAACGGCATGCCATGGCATTATCCGTCCCCATGACCCCCTCCACTACGTGAATCTCACCACAAACTGATTCACATTTGCACTGTCCGTGGGAAGGCGAACCAGTCTTTTTGGTTGGATTTCATAAAGTGTTTCAATACTTGAGTAAAAACTCATTGGCATTCAGCCTTCTCTTGGCCGAGCCAACCTGGTCTCTTTCCAACCCCCCCCCCCACCCCCCCGTGAGGTGTCTTGCCATCATCGTGCTGCTCCGTCCATGACAAGGATGTAAAAGGGTTCCCGCGTCGGCAAATCGTGCCTCGGCCATCCCTGTGTCTGTTGACTATGGTGACGGTCGTGGTGTAGTCGCCTCCGATCAACGCACCCACCACGCCCCCTGCTCACTGTCCACTGGCTGTGGCAGCGCCAAACGAATAGCTCCGAGTCCTAGGAAATCTTTCGGGGTTTTTTTGCATTTATCATTCAATGCAGATTTCCATCTATATGGTCCAAATGGAACATGTGGCACTGCTGCCCCACCATTGTTTTGTTAATTTGTTGCACTGTGCAATTTGTGGTACTGTGCAACACATTAACTCTTCACTATTTGTTGCACATATCTGTTTGCATGACTAATTGAGAAGACGTTGGTGTATAATATGCACCGGACAGACAATAATTCAGGGCTCAAACAATTGCATAAATTATTAAAGATAAAATGCCGTTTTATTTTTGTGCACTTTCAACACATTTTCCACCGTGTTAACACGTCATAAGCTGCGCATTAACTTTCAGTCGTAATTTCTTAAACATTTCAACAGTGTTGGTTTCCAACATTACGTAAACATTGTTGAAATTACTGCCAACATTTATGAATGGGTAAAATTGGTCAGCCAGGATATGAGGCCATGGTGGCCTAATATTGCTTCTCTGTTTTTCAACGTGATTATGAAAGCGCAACAATGGAGGGTTTTTTTTGTCAGTTCACAAAGTGAAGGCTTCACACATGGCCGCTGGTCTCATTCTGACACGATGAGATGTTTGATTGTTTCTAAATGCTGCTGGGACACGGACCAGGTTGATGGAAGTGCTTCGCATTTAAAAATTCTAGTTTTTTTTTTTAAATACGTGAAAACCTTGCCCAACGCAGCTTTATCGAATACTTGTTTCGGCCATACACGGTGTACCTTACGAGGTCTGTTTTCTGGAACACGGGGGTGATGTTTTGGCTGTACGCGATTTGGCGCTGCTAAGATTCCCATCTCGTCGTCGACAAAGTAGTGCCTTGAGAGGGCCGCATCCGTTGGGAGGTGGGAACGAATCGACTGTGAGAACGATGTATTTACCACGTGCGTGTGTTTCGTTTGTGTGTGTGTGTGTTGTATGTGAGTTTTATGTGTGATCATTTAACAACGCACAATGCCAATGTTCACACATTACCGCACGCATCTACCCGTCCACTCGTTTAAGACGTCAGTCATATGGACGTCGAGATGGTAAAATCGTAAACGTTGGTAGTGACAGCGTTAGGGGCGAGCGTTGGGCATGAGTGGAACACATGGTGCGGGAAGAGGAATGGAGACGCGGGTTTTGAGTTGAAGTGAAATTGAACAATAAGAGTGCACACACACACAAGACATGGAGAGAAACTTGGTATCCTTTAGTACAATAACACGTAGCATTAGTTGAACAAATAGCGATGTGGTTATTTCTGACTCAGGAACACAACCGTATTGTTCCCCAAATGTGTATTGTCGAACGCGGTTTTGCCTTGCACAGCATTTTCCCTGAACGTAACCCCCGCGTTCGGCGAGGCCTGCCCGTTACATATATACACAAGTAGGCTATTATATATATAAAGATTAAATGAAGATCAAGAACGATTTGATTTTCTTAGGCACAAGCGTTAACTGCGAGCATTCAAGAGGCAGTCACAGCTACCTCCCCACAATGCCAACGTAAGTTCCAAGATTGATAAACGCTTCACGGAACGCTCTCTTAATAAAAGTGTCTTTTTTCACGCCAGACAACCGATGCGATTAATCAAGCGATTTCATAGCGCAAGTTATGGCCTGAAAAATGTTTTTTTTTTGTGAGCTGGCAAGGGGGGCTAACGAGCGAACGACAATCACAAAATCGCCACAACTCGAGCAACGTCGCAAGAAAGCGTCGGGCCAATTTTGGCTGACGCCCCGGAAGATCGAGGGACCATGGCATCAAATCGGCTCAATTTTCATGGCAATCACGTGACAATGACACGAGATTTATATTCCTCCAAACATTGCATGCTGGGGTTGAGTACGCATTGTTTTCTATTATGACCGAGTTGTTTTTTCTCCTCCCTCCCCACCCCCGCCCCCGCCCCATAAAGCGAGGCTGTCCGAGGCAATTATTGAAGCAATATTTGTTTTCAAAGTGGTAAGATATATGAAGTTGAAGGTCATTGTGAGCAAAAGCGCAAAATGAAAGAAAAAAACACGTGATGAGTGCAGCATTTCCAATTGTTGCAGAACACAGCTTTTGATTCATAAGTGCGTCTACACACTTATATCTCAATACATTTAATTGGAAATCAGGTCCATGTTACACGAACAATCCACGGGGTGCAATAGCACAACTTATGCGGCTGCTCCCAGTGGTATCTATTTATAGCCCCGTCTTCCAATTTAGGGAGTTCCTGGCAGGCTTATAATGCCAACCGGCGCATTGCGATAAGCCAAGTCAACAGGCTACTGTGGCTAGCAAGTTCAAACAGCATGGGTTTGGTGCCAGTTAATTCCATATTGCTATGATGGGAGCCAGTATATCCGGGATAACCACTGTTCCCTCCATACGAAGTGACACGCATTTCATTATGCCACAGAGGGATTATGGAATGAGTCGACCCCTCAACAGCATTTTAATTGACAACCTTCAAATTGAGAGTTGAGACCTCTTACCACCAATGCCTGTCAGCCAGATAGTTGTATCGGTGTCATAAACAGAGGGACTCAAATATTAGAGGCCTAAGTTTGCATCAGTTTATCACCATCGGACATGACCAAGCCACAGCTGCATGAACACCTCCTCAAGCCACTGCCACCACTTCTGGGCGATGCAGTTATCGATGTAGCCCCTGTACATGAGCTTATTTCATCACTTCTCCTCGCTGGACATTCCCTCGGACACGCACCATTATTATTAATATTATTCTTGATCACCAGCCAATATCCCTTCTCGTGACATTTCCTGCCCAAACTTACTGGCTTCTCGTAATTCGAGCCACGTCCCTAAGCCTTCATATGCGCTTTCGTCCGTGCTTCTCTTGCTGTCTCGCAAACGTGCACCTTTCAGACTAAAACAAACATCACGATAATACATTTGGCGTTCAACTCATTCGGAAAAGATTTCAGAAACTAAAAAAAGATCGATTTAATTGGCATGAGATGAACACTCTTTGCAGGGCAGGTGTATCCCAAAACGTGGCTGAAGAGGCTTATTGCTGAAGTTGACCTCAGAAGGAGTTGTGCGACATCACCTTCCGAGGCTCTTCTCTGACGAAGAATTCCAAATTGAAAATGTATGGATCTCATGACGTACAATATCAACAGGATTCCTTTCGTCTGTGCACGCACCCGGGTTGATGTGACGACGGGGCGCTACATGCGGCGGTAAGTTCCAATGTAAGCCTTGCAGTTGGAGCAGTGGTGCTGCGTGTCTTTGAAGGTGGGGAACAGCAGGGGAATGAGGCAGCAGCAGAAATAAAACCTGGGGAAGGGAGAGGAAGAGTGAACCTTGCACCGCAGAAATTACACAAAACTCAATGCCACTCCTGGCTACCTATGAAATGCAGGATTGCGTATAAATTACGTACACTCATTCTCAAGGGTCTCCATCAATCTGCTCCGTCCTATCTATCTCGCCGATCAGTGCGCACCAGCTTCGACAGACCCAAAATCCACTCGGATTCCGATCCGCGGCTGTCGGCGACCTTCTGCTCTACCCGCCGCTTGTGAACCTCGCGTGCGATACACGGACAGTGGAGCTTCGGGGTCTCCGGCCCAAAGTGCTGGAACACGCTCCCAGCTCATGTTCGGGATACAACCCTGAGTCGGAGCCTCTTCTTCAACAGACTCGGAACGGTGTTGTTGTTGTTGTTGTTGTTTTCTTGATTTAAAGCTTTCGTGACTGCAGTGATTCATATTCTTGGTTCTTTCGGTAAAGTCGCGTTGAAGGGAAACAATAAAATAATAAAATATATACACAACTATAAAATTCTCACGACGTTTCGACTGCAACACAAGCAGTCATCATCAACGTTAGCACCACGGATAGCGATCCGTGGCGCTAACGTTTAAAAATAAATATATAATACAAACCGCCACTTCATTCAAATGTTTCTTGCCGTTGGTTTTCACACCTGATGATGACTGCTTGCGTTGCAGTCGAAACGTCGTGAGAATTGTATTGTTTTATATATATTTTATTATTTTATTGTTTCCCTTCAACGTGACTTTACCGAAAGAACCAAGAATATGGTGTTGTTGTTGTTGTTTCAGAGAGCCATCTTCAATGCGCAGTCGTGATGGACTGGACTCATAAGAGTGCACAATAACAAATATTCTTACTTACTGGAGAATCAGATTCTTAATGTTACGGTAAACCAAGAGAGGGAACTTCTAGAGTCTGGCCTGAGCAGGAGCAACCCTTGAGTATTCCCCATGAAAAGTGAGACTGCTGTCTGTGCGAGATGTATTTTATTTTCCGGGCTGAGTGACTCAACATCGAGTGCAGTTTGAATTGGCAGTCTTGGCTTCGATGATGTAGCCAAAGTTAGTGTCTCCCTGCTCAAATGACGAGCGTGAAAGCAGCTCTGGTCTTTGTCTGCAGCCCCCAGCTCGTGCTGGAAATGCCACATTCCCATGGCCATCACACGGATGGCTACTATAAACCTCCTACAAAGTGAGTGGTACTTATCGTACCAACTCTAGAAGAATGATATAAACTCCGATTATAATGTTAAACTTTTTCACTACGAATCATACTCTTTTTCTTTTATGATGGATTTTTCTTGTCATATCCAGAGACATTCAGTCTAGGTAAAGTCCCGCATCTTCTTTGGTTCTTTCGGTAAAGTCACGTAGAATGAGAATAAAATAATAAATTGATAAAATAAAATAACACAATAATATTCTCACGACGTTTCGGCCACAACACAAGCGCTTGTGTTGTGGCCGAAACGTCGTGAGAATATTATTGTGTTATTTTATTTTATCAATTTATTATTTTATTCTCATTCTACGTGACTTTACCGAAAGAACCAAAGAAGATGAATCATTGCAGTCACGAAAGCTTTAAATCGAAAAGTCCCGCATGTTTGAGATATATAGCCTGTTAATTATTCAGGCTGGTTAGTGCTGTCTTTCATCCACTTGACCCACGAATCAAAGGCTAAGAGAAGTCTGTCGCTCCAATGCTTATTTGGAGACATTTTGAGTTTTGACTATTGTATGGATGGTAACATGATTGAGTGGTAATGCATTTGTCATTTGTTGTCGAGGTTGGAGGTTGAAACTCCACATCCACCTTAGTTAATATGCGCCTTCTGCTTCACAGTGTATGCTAAATATCCCATGACGTTATTTGAAACAGGAGGCCATGTGTTCTGGCATCAATGGTACAAATGAGAATGATTACCCACAAATTACTAAGCTGGAAAATTGCACAGCAACATAGCCATCTATTTTGTGATGCTAATGCTGTACAGAATATATTTGTAAAACAGCACCTGCATAAGCCTTGTTCAATAAGGATGGCACAAATACAAAGAGTACTTTGATTTATACCTTGTATTTAGTATTATGAACCTTCATGTGTTCACCCTCCCACTTACACTTCTCACCACTCATCTCTACTACTCTCTACTATTGCAATCAAGGCTCCATTCAACCAACACTCAGTGCTAGGTCACGTACTCTTTTCTGCTACCACCAATAATCTGGAACTCTCTCCATATGCTGTTTGGCTTCCTGCCCTCTGTTCAAGTCCAGGCTCAAGATCACCAATTCTCCATAATAAAGTTTATTTTTAGTTAGATCGCGTAACCCAAAAAACCTGTTATCGATATTGGTAGCGAAAGCCTACGTGTTAAAATCACCAATTCTCTTTAAGATCATGTAAACCACATATCAAAGACAAATGAAATACCTTTCCCCCCATGTTGCGCATTTGTACAGCATCCTGAGATGCCGTTGACATGCAGACACGCTACGAATCTCACCGGCATCCTATTATATCCGATCCCACTTTGGACAAGCATTTACACGTTTTGTCGCCGGTGGTGGCCACACTCACCCGAAGAGGCAGAACAAAGTGGCAAGGAGCCAGGAGAAGCCTCCATTGGTGTTGTGCGTCGTGGTCCAACCGAAGAACTGGCACTTGGGGCAGCGCACCTGCGCGGGGACATCGCGGAGCACCACTGCCGCGTAGATCCCGGGCGCAGGCAACTCGACCGCCAGCTGATTGCTTTCTGCAGGCGAAATGCGACAGCACTCATCAGGCCGTGTCACCATTGAGCGGTGGTAAAACTGTCAAGGCTAGTGTCACACCCGATCTCTGGCTGCCCGTATAGCGTGACTTCAACGTTTAACGTTCACGATCGATTAAACATTCAGGTCAAGCGGTGTGGTGAATGGTCACATCTCTAGTGGCTGCAGGAGGTGATGTGAGCCCACTACATACACTATAACAGAAACATGAATTAGCTGATGCACCAATATTCAATGTCCCCAATATTCCGTAGCTACAATCTTCGTTTAATGAATGCTGGACTACTACACTGGACTTTCCCGCAAGCAATGAGCAACTATTGACACATTAAGTTTCAGCTAAACCAGAATGACCATCAGAAGGTTATTGGACAGAGTCGGGGTGGGGTGGGGGTAGTTGGGTTGCCCTTAGGCCTTTTATGGAAAATACTCAGACGAGAATGTAACCACCTTCATTGATTACCACGAAGCGCAAAGCCCATTGTGGCCTCGTTTTCAGCATTTTAAGTTAATGTCGCCTCTTGGGTTTGTGTGGGATGTGTGTGAGAAGGTGTGTGTGTGCAGAGTTGTTCGACAATGCCTGGGGTTGTAAGACAATGCCTGAGGTTGTAAGACAATGCCTGAGGTTGGAAGACAATGCCTGAGGTTGTAAGACAATGCCTGAGGTTGGAAGACAATGCCTGAGGTTGTAAGACAATGCCTGAGGTTGTGAGATAATGCTTGAGTTTGTAAGACAATGCCTGAGGTTGTAAGACAATGCCTGAGGTTGTAAGACAATGCCTGAGGTTGTAAGACAATGCCTGGGGTTGTAAGACAATGCCTGAGGTTGTAAGACAATGCCTGAGTTTGTAAGACAATGCCTGAGGTTGTGAGACAATTCTTGAGGTTGTGAGACAATGCCTGAGGTTGTCAGACAATGCCTGAGGTTGTCAGACAATGCCTGAGGTTGTGAGACAATGCCTGAGGTTGTAAGACAATGCCTACGGTTGTAAGACAATGCCTGAGGTTGTAAGACAATGCCTGAGGTTGTAAGACAATGCCTGAGGTTGGAAGACAATGCCTGAGGTTGTGAGACAATGCTTGAGTTTGCAAGACAATGCCTGAGGTTGTAAGACAATGCTTGAGTTTGCAAGACAATGCCTGAGGTTGTAAGACAATGTTTGAGTTTGCTGAAATTTCCATTGGCGAGACAGAGGTGGAGCATTGAGATTTGTTTGGTTGTGGACTTACACATGGAATCAGAACTGGAATGACTGTTTTTTGAAAATATGTATTTTAAATCAAGTCCACGAACGATTACGGTTGCAGTTTCTCACTCTAATTCTTGCTTCGTAATAAAAAAAGCTTACTAATATCAAGGCATTTACACAATGTACATAAAAGAGAATTTACGGGTTGAAGGTTTGAGCCGACTGTATGTTGGACTCTACTTGCGATAAGACTGCACTAATACTGTCATAAAGTTGAACAATCACACAGTGGTAGCACAATGCACAGTAAAGCCGGCATCCAAAGTTCAATGCCTGGGCCGTGGCTAACATCGCATGTTACCTTAATCGCCACGGTGACTTCAGAACGGGAGTAATGCAATTTCTGAATTTAGTCATAATGCACAGACAGCAGCATTTTGAGCCGTTTGCAACCGACATCGAGGTGATTGGGAAGATCAGCAAAGGGTCGATTGTCAGAGTCAGTCCTGAGTTTACCTCATGCCTGGTTTAGGTACTCGACATCAGCAAAGCTGTTATCCGTGGAAGATGCGGTTTTGGGGGACTGGGAGATTGGGAATAGGTTTCGACTCTGTCCAGGGCTGGTCCAGAGCTGGCCCAGAGCTGGTCCAGAGCAAAGGCACTTGGGAATCCCCACAAGGAACCACAGGTGAAAGAACCAACCTGAAGCCACATAGTCCCTAAGCCCTGACCCGATATTTCACTTTGTCGACACCACCCTAGGTGGCATTTTATCTCGTGTCCAACAACCATTTTAAAATAGCGGGTGACCAAATAGTGTGCTTTTATAATTGTGTACAACGAAAGTTTTGCTAACTTAGGTGCTACCAATTTCTGCTCTGGCCCATGGACTGAACAAGACCACGCTTCTGCAGTTTCTGCCAATTGTTCATGTATATGCACACGCACGCAGCTGCTTAATGTATACCGCACTAATATATTATTGGTTTCTTCCTTGGAGGGGCGGGGGTGGGAGGAAATAATGACTGGAACAAATTTAATAAATAGGCATTAAGACAATTAAGCAATGCATCTCTTGTTGATAAATTGTCACCGCCGCATTCAACGTGCAGCGCTAATGCAATAATAATGCACCTCATCGACATCATTTGTAACCGATTTTTGTATTGTTCAGTAATTGCCACGACATACGTATGACATGCATAAGCCATAAAAATAACCCCCCCCCCCCCCCCACTGCAGTAATTGAGGAGCCTAATTGTAAGCAACCATGCACTGCTCAGTAAAGCTAATTTATGACACGTTCAAAATGATTCAAATGAAAGACGCTTTGCTGTATTTATTGCCGCCTTCGCAGTCCATTGAGCAAAAGAAAAACCGAACGGCCCTAAGCGATGTCTCCAATGTTGCAAATATGCAGGCGGAAAGACGAGCCTCAAATATCCCTTTACAATTGTTACCCTGCTTAAATGTATCGCTCTGGTGTCAAAAATATTGAAATAGCACGTGCAATTGTAGTTGTAACGTTCATAAACGTTTAACAATCTGACGTTTTATAGAGTTACAAAACGGTCATTTCAAATTGGTTAACTGAAAAAGTTTAAAATTGCACGACTGTAACGGTTAAAACATATTCCTTTTCCTACTTCATAAGTGTGCATGTTGTTATTTGTACATGTATTTAGTTAAAATCATTGCAACTCAACGCTGATACTTCATCAACTATGAAGCAAATAATAATTATTTAAGGCTAAAATGTACTTTCTTTGCAAGTAAATTTGATATAATTGGAATTAAACAAGTCATGCCACATTACTTGACAAAATGCAGTTATAGCAGCAATTATAGTAAACTCGATTAAAAGTACATAAGGGCTACCATTCTTAGAGTATACTAAAGACACCTAACATGGGCACCTTTTTCTCTGCATGATGTGATAATCGTGGCACTTCAACAGTGTTCCATGAACTTCCTTTGCGTGTTTCAAGAGTGTATTCAACCCTCTGGCAACGCACACAATTCATTCTGCATCAGTAGCGGCGAACAACTTCGTAAAACACAATGACAAAATGCCGAAACTCCACGCAAAAAGTTAAACAATTCAATATCTTGGCCACAAAAGCCTTTTCTGAAAAACACCCAAGGTGTGATCAGACATAGCCACGATCCTTCCTTCAGTCCTTTCCTCCGTAAGGAAGAAGAAAAAGTGATCATAAATAAACACATCGACTTTACACGATGTCTCGCTTGACACACTGTCTTGTTTTACACGGTGTCTCACTTTACACGCTGTCTCACTTTACACGATGTCTCACTTTACACAATGTCTCACTTTACACAATGTCTCACTTTACACAATGTCTCACTTTACACCGTGTCTCACTTTACACCGTGTCTCACTTTACACAATGTCTCACTTTACACAATATCTCACTTTACACAATGTCTCACTTTACACAATGTCTCACTTTACACAATGTCTCACTTTACACAATGTCTCACTTTACACGGTGTCTCACTTTACACAATGTCTCACTTTACACAATGTCTCACTTTACACAGTGTCTCACTTTACACAATGTCTCACTTTACACAATGTCTCACTTTACACAATGTCTCACTTTACACAATGTCTCACTTTACACGATGTCTCACTTTACACAATGTCTCACTTTACACGATGTCTCACTTTACACGATGTCTCACTTTACACAATGTCTCACTTTACACAATGTCTCACTTTACACGATGTCTCACTTTACACAATGTCTCACTTTACACAATGTCTCACTTTACACAATGTCTCACTTTACACGATGTCTCACTTTACACAATGTCTCACTTTACACAATGTCTCACTTTACACGTCTCACTTTACACAATGTCTCACTTTACACAATGTCTCACTTTACACGATGTCTCACTTTACACAATGTCTCACTTTACACGATGTCTCACTTTACACGATGTCTCACTTTACACAATGTCTCACTTTACCCGGTGTCTCGCTTAACCTCTCAAGTTTATTTTTCGCTTCTCGGCTTGGGAGAATGGCGACAACCGCCTTCGAGCGAGCCAGGCCCCACGTGGCTTCGCCCCGCACGCGGCAAACAAACCAAATGCCCAACTCACCTATGGGGTAAGCGGGGCACGCGGAGTGCGGCGGCGGTGGGTAGACGACGTAGGAAGGCGGCGGAGCCCCGGGCTGAGTCTGTATCGCCGACAGGTCAATCTCGGTGTACGGCGGCGGCAGTGGCGCGGCCGCCGCCGCTGCCTCTGTTTGGCCGCCCTTGGCCGTAGGGTCCGTCAGGTTGGATCCCTCCTCCGCGTCCCTCAAGTAGGTCTCTTCCTCCCTTGGCCGCTGCTGTTGTCCTCCAGCCATGGCACCGACGAGGGCTTCGGTTGAAGTCCGGCCAGGCTCCCCAGCGCTGGTCCTGTTCTGCGGCTCCATTGTGTTATTTTTAAAAGTGCTGTTGTTTTTTTTTTAAATCAAAATTATTCTTTGCAGAGCTGCACCGAGAAGACTTTGTCAAAACGTAAGCTCTGTAATTTACGTTTGAATTTGAATAGATATATGTTCGAAGAGTACAATTACATTGTATCGTTACATAAGCAACACGGTTCGATCTTCTGTTTTGAAGCTCTGGACTAATTCCTGCGTGTAGCAACGACTCATTCAAAGCAATGATGTATTGCATACGCGTACGTCATAAGGTTAACAGTCGCCGAAATTTTTTTCAGTTTATCGGTGGAAAGATAAATATACCCGTGACAGGGAGAGGCTGGTGGCTTATCGAATCTCGAAGTTAATCGTTAACCAACTTCTCAAAATCACAAACCTCATGCTGTTGTGAATGCATTTTTGTTCAATTCCTGTAGTACAATCTCACGTGTCATCAGCAAATTTGACGGTTATTATTTAATACATTAATATGTATACCTTTGTTTCCCCCAATACAAGCTTAATGAAATATCTGCCACTTTGAAAAACTGTAGTGAGAGCTTGCAACTTTTTTTTTAACATGTATTTATTTCTCTTCGTGTAATCCGAGTCTGGATGATCCACTTTGTAAATTGATTCATGTAAAAACAGGTTTTATTTAGGCCTCAGTGTGCGAGAGCTGGGATAACCGCATTTAGTTTTGCATTCATCGACATCTACAAAGGCTTTAGTACAATGGTCATTAACATTCATTGCTCTTTTCTAGAATCTGATTAATAGTACATTTTGTGGCCACCTCAGAAATAGACATCTTTCCGAAACCATGTACTTCCAAAGTGGGTTGGCAGTATAATTTGGTTATTCTGTTTAACACGTAGCAGGATTTCGCGACCAATATATACATGAGAGGTTTTTTTTTGGGTTAGATCGCGTAAATATGTGTCGTTAAACTCAACACCACCCGACACAGCCAACTAGTAAGAAGTCTGGCTGTCACCTGATAATGCTGGTTATAATAGACAGCGAAACGCCATACTCGAATTGTAAATGCTGTGGACTTACTCTCTAACACACCGGTGTGCTGAACTAGTGACTACTTGGCATGTTTTGTTTACGTGACAAACCTTACAAATTGGCTGTGGCGGGTTTAACAAATTTGTAATTTGGTTATTCTGTTTCAAATGAGCATTGCTACTTTCCTCACCACCACTATCATCCTTATCACCACCATTTATCAGCGTGTATCATCATCCAATATCCATCGAACAGACGGAGCAAATATATCAGCTGTTTTGAAGGTGCTACGCCGATTATATTCATTACATCACATCAGCTTAAAAAGGCCTGCGTCCGGCAGTGGAAAGATCAATGCTGATGCTGAAGAACTGTACAATCTGCCACGGTCAATTAAACACACTCCCTCGATCCCGGGACGTACACCCGGAACGCACACCCGGAACGCGTTCTATTCCTTAATGATGAAACAATTCACTTAATTAACGTCAAGAACGAATCGGCAACGTAACACGTAAACTTACCAATTTAAACAATTAACACACGTACTTGTGAATAAATTAGCCAACAGGTACCTTGCACCGTGAGTCAAGTGTTCTGCACGCATACAAGATGTGGTGCTGCGGATGAAGTCGATGAAGGGAATGGGATGACGGTTGAGGTGGGGGGGTAGGTTTGCATAAGGGTGGGGGTATGTCACCTCTGTCGCTCCGGAGTTCGGGGTGTGCTTGAACCCTCCCCTACGGGGTAGGGGTTGGCATCACCCTCCCCTCGACACTGAATGCGTGTAGACTACTCTCCCAACAACCACTGGTGATTGCGAATGTTGTCGCTTTGCTCTCCCAACACACCGGTGTGCCGTACGAGTAACGAGCTGGCATGTTCTGTTTACGTGATAAACTTTACTAATTGGCTGTGCCGGGTGGTGGCGGGTTTAACGACACATATTTACAACCTGTATTATGGATGATATTGGTCGCGAAAGCCTACTACGTGTTAAACTAACCACTGGTGGTGCTATCTTGATTTGAAGCTTTCGTGACTGCAGGAATCCATACTCTTTGGTCATTTCGGTAAAGTCACGTAGTTAGAAAAAATAATAATAGATAACGACGTTTCGATCGCAACAGGCCTGAAGACGGTCGCTTGTTGTTGCGATCGAAGCGTCGTGATCTATTATTGTTTCTACCTACGTGACTTTACCGAAAGAACCAAAGAGTACTAGTGGTGCTGCTTAACACCATTCCCATTCAATGACGTACGTGCACGTCATCCGTTTCCATTTCGAGGCTCCCACAATGCCATGCCGGAGGGCGTTTGGCACAGTTTGGCGCCAGCTATCATACAAGTCGTGTCGCTACAGCTCTCTGCGGTGAATACAATGTATTTTAATAACGGCGCTACGCCTCTATAAATAAAATTGACACTATAACCGCTTGCGCGTTCCGAGCTTCAGCGGTGAACGGGACCCATCCTGCAACTTGTAGCTGTCTTGGAACAGGTAGGGTTAAGCAGTGATACGTTTATTCATCATCACGTGAGAACTTCATAAGCTAGCTTTGTTAGGTGGAGGAGGGTTTTACGGCACACATTTCACTTTCACCATCTGACCCGAAAATGTATTTGTAATCACCCCCTTAATGAGATTACCGCCATTTAATGGAATATTGCCTCGCAGGGAATCGATTCTAACGTCGATTCTATTTGATTCGATTCTGTAAAGTAAATTCTAAACCGATCATAACAAAAACGATATATTTTTGAAGTTTTTCAAACAAATAAAACACAAATTTGAGGTGTCGCACTGCCCCAATGCCCCATACAGCCCAGTCACCACTGGTTGCAGCTTCTATACCAAAAGCTTTCCAGGATTTCACACTGCAAAGTGCAGAGTTGGTTTCTTGAAGTGTGACATCTGGAACTGCCCCCTTCATCTGAGAGGTGGTTTTATTCCAACGCACAAACAACACACTTTAAAATCTCTATTTGGAATTTAGCGTACGTATAATTCCTCACGCAGCATTTGCATCCAAAAGAATGTTTGCAAATACGTCACGCAATTTATAAACACATCATTATCCATGCGTACATGTTGATTTTCGAGCTATTTTAATTTCCATTTGAGCACAATAAAAATGCACAACTCTAATCAAGAAATAATGCAGATAAGCTATGGCAAATTCAAAATTGTATTCAGCAAAAGCCTCTGTAACATTGAGAATCTGTGCAAGCTGAGGTGTTCTGCTACTATTCATGTAGACTGCATATTTAAAAATAGCCAAACATTTTTGTATTGTGTAAAACATTTTTTTTTACCAGAAGCAAACACCACGACTCTGACTGACATCACTGCTTTCACAATAAAACAGCCACAACAGTACCAATTTGGGTGCAAATTGTCCTCGGGTTACCATCCTAGTAAGTTTGTGTGCTGCTTTAAAGGACGTTGATGTTCTTCCACGACTAAGGGAACACGGAGCTGGGAAGAAGAAAAAAAAACAGGCCGTATTCGTACAGGTTTCAAGTGTGTTCCCGTAAGGTTTTATGCGCATAACAGTCATGGATGTACACAGACGAGTAGCAATCTCCTAAGCAGCATTAGCGAGATATTGTTCGGCATCTGGAAATCGCTTGACTTGAGTGGTCTGTCGATACACACGAGCCAAAATGTGCACGCAAGAAACACTGAAAGGCAAATTTGAAACATCAGCCCCCTTGCACTAGAAAGCACATAACACCGACGTGACCAAATAGTTAATGTGAAACCAGGTTTAAACATGAAATTTTTCCGAAAAAAATTTACCCCGTTTTTTGGGGTTATATTTTCAGTCAGTTTCTTTGACGTGAAAAGGACAACTGAAATAAAAGCCATCTGTGTGCACAAATGACGTTGGTGAACACAGAATCATTTGAACACAGACCTTACTTTCAGACGCGTCGGTGACATGCCATATTTGATTAGAGGCATTTAAATGGAGCTATCCGCATGCTCTTGGAAGATGTTTCGAAACTGTCTGTTTTTTTTAGAAAATTTGCGCTTTTCCGTTGTTTTCCGCAAATGATTAAGAAAGCAAAGTTAGGGAACGTTCTAATCGAATTAACCAACGCAACATTAAGATCGCACATCTGGTCATTTGAGGAACGTTTCAGCAACAGTTCATGAAGAGTGGCTTTCAATGGCCGTGTAAATGAGCCACCACCCCCAATGCAATCAAATGGCACTTTTAGAAAGTTAATGTGTGGCCAAACACGCTGATGCTATTTGATATTTGAAAGTACGTTTTGTCGTGTTATACTACAGCTCCACTACGTTCAACATTAAATAACTAGCTACTAAAAAGTAAAATATTAGGCTGAATGAAAACATTTTCTTGTTAATTCCTAATCACACACTGCAGGACTTCCTCATTATAATTTGGAAATGTACTTATTTATCACGGAAAGCCACACTGAGTCGTATAACTCTTTTTCAGGAGGGTCCTGGATTGAGTTTTTATTTTAAGACGTTTTTTAGACAATTCTTGACTGTTCATTATACACGTGGAAGGAAACTGGAGCACGCGGAGAAACCTCACGCATGCAAGGGGGCAACGCTATATCCCCCGCACAGATGGAAACAGATGGCGATTATTACTTGCTGTACCGCCTTCTCCTGGCTCGCCAGGGTATGGGGACCTCGACACCCACGGGAAAGGAGTTTTAAGACATCTGTGTGCGATGCACCAACCCCTCGCTGCCTTCAGTGTTGAATCACAGGCCACAGACATGGCCACCACTGGCCCAGCTTCCTACATTCCCTCATTTCCTTTATTCCAGAATGGCACATCTTACACACGTTTCATTACTGATACAATAACCAGATGCACTGGATGTGATGAGGACTGAGCAATTAATGTAAATCCTTATATTATACAGTATACACACACACACATCATTTAAGCAACAATGCCCGTTCTCGTTACAGTATTCGCAGACAGTTATCTCAACAACATTGCTTGCGTTCAATTGTATGCACCGCTCTGGCACACAGCGCCTCACATTTTGCTGTGAAGTGAAACGAGCATAATCAATAGACGATATATTTTTTTATTTAGAGCAATAATGAAGTGTGAAATTATGAACATGATATACGTGTATTGTAATTGAGGCAGCTTTTGACTATCTCGACCGATAATCCAGAGTGATAATATGAAGTGTAGATTTTTCATAAATTAGCAACACATTGGATGAGTGATATTAAAGCACAAACCTCAGCAAACTCGGAAATTGATGCACCGAATATGCACACCGTGTCCACTTAATCACCGAGACACCAGTTCACAACCACCGTCTGAAGTGAAGATACCCGCGAATATCCAGCCATTGCAATACAGGGCGCCTAAAAAAATGTTAACACTTACATGGGACTGTCGTGTACTGTTGCAAATTCTCCGAATTGTTAACATTTTTTTGACGCACCCTGCATAACAGAACGCGGTTTGAAAAACAAAATCCCACGACTGGTAAAACGTTCAAGGCCAAGAGGACATCTACGGCGTGTGCCATCGACGCCGCTGCTCTCTCTCCCAAGAGGAATCAACTCGACAATTGCCATGATGCAAACCTCCAAGGGGCGTTCGTGCAAAAATCGCACCATCTGTCTGCGGCCTTCCCCTCGGTTGGATGCCACTTCAATACCTGCATGGGTGACCTGACCTCCCTTGTCCTCTGTCAACTGCCTCAATCATGGCAAATCTCCTCTACCTGACGACATCTGAAAAATACTTTCGCTCCGTGCTCGCTTCTGAACTTCTAAGTTGCTCACCATATTCTGCCATGAAATGGCTAGCATTTTCAAATTGCCGTCATTTTTCCCCACCGACAATGTTACGGTCACACCTGCTGATATGTTTTTTTCTCCATTTTATTGTTGGCGTTGCTATAGCATTCGCAAGTGGACCACTGTACGTCCACAGGTGCTCACGATTCCCACCGAAGAGTGTCTTGTTCTGTGTTACTTTAAATTGGCACCCAGTCAGTTTAACACGCAACAACCCAGTCGGAATGAATACACTGCACCCCACTGTGCACACACCTCTATCTCGCTGGTGAAAATGTTGCAATTGCATTATTCCACATTGACGTGAACGGCCTGATGGTAAGGACATCTAATTCAGCTCGGGGCATCAATCGCGAGAATGTCCTGAAGCGTGCAGCTTTTACGCGCCTCCACGTTCGTTTATCTGCAAATGTAACCGGCGAAGAGTGAGTGGGCGTCGGTGCAGAGACCGAGGCTGAAGAAAACATCACAAAGCGCCGTTAAAACTGACGCACGGCGTAACGAGCTGAATTTTAGTGCACATTCACCTGCTTGCCCATTAACAAGTCTGGACGGAATCGAGCATAAAAAGCTATGCACGCATCGCACTGTCTAATCATGCGTGATTCATCAAGATATAACATTAAGCATAAATCAGTTCCCAAGACTAACATTTTACCATGCAATAGTCCTACAAATGATTTTTTTTTTCTGCAGGAGATAGAGCCACACTATTACCTCTCCCCCATGCAGCTCTTCTCAAAGTAGGTTCCATTTCCCCCAAACATGCTTTCGTGCATTGTTTTAAATAGTTTGTTGCCAATTTCTAGGGCTCCCTTAGAAATCATGTACATTACCGATACAAATTCCTGGGTTTTACAGATAGAAGAACATGTAAACAAAAAGCCCGTCATCAGGTCACGGTCAGAGGGCATTATGGGTAATGTCTATGTTGCCACCAAACTTTGCCAAATGCCTCTCCCTCTCGGCTGGATCCCGGAGCCATTCCAGTCAACATCCGATCGCCAAGATCCGTTCTTACAGTGTCTCATCATCATCTGGGTTTTCATCTTGCCCATGGTCGCTGACCTCCTGGGTGCCACTCCCAGTGCACGTCTCGGTAACTCCCCTCCTTCACCCAGCAAACGAGTGGCACTCATCACAGCTTCCTCTCCTGATTACATCCCAGCACCGTGCTGCAACATTCTATTCCAAATGCATAACAAAAAACGAAAGCGTACCGTTTTGAAAGAGCATCACAGCAAATATCACGTAAACATGGAAGGGCAAAGTTCAGATGCTGCCTGCAACCAAAAAATGCAAGTCTTTGTCCTTAGCCTTTCAAGAGTTGGTGAATTTAAATGTCTTATATGGATTTCTAAATACAAAGAGAAGCCTTATATTTATTTAACAAAATTTCATGAATTTTCAATAGAGAGAAAAGTTCAATTTTTGTTACTTTTTAATGGAAAATATGATTGTGATAAAAAATCTGATTGAAAAAAAAGTTAAATGTCAGCCCAGTTCTTATGAAGTCCTAATGGCTAAAACAGTGATGAAAATGAGTTGTTATTTTTTTTATTTCACAGTAATCTGTAAAATATTATTAACGTGATAATCTATGCAACAGAGGGTATTATTATACAATTCCAATCATTAAGAGACTTAAAACAAATGGCTTTGTTTGTAAGCAATGAAATCACAAACACAAAACTAGTTCGGTAAATTAACCTACATGATCGATTAGAGCCAGCATATAGCTCAATGTGTTGTGCAACAGGGCACCCAGTCGTGAGTTTCGAGTTCAAATCCTAGCCACGGTGGATTCAGCCACCACAGTCTGGAAAATAAAAAGACTGGGCTACAGCATATAAATGTGGGGGATTTTATTTTTACACTCCACTCTGCTCATGGAGGAGATATGCTTCACCCTCTACACTTGCAATTTTAAGTGTTGATAAAAAAATATTCTGTCTGGAAAAAGAAAAAAAAAGAAAATCTCATCCAAATATTTTTACTTTCATCTTGGTATACACACGAGAGTATTTGTGTGGATCATTTAAGGACAATAACAGGAATCGCTGGCATGGGCACCGTCAAGATTAATGTTTGCGAGCAGCATCTGCTTAACAGCTCAATCTTGAACTGTTGAGACTTTGCCAGATGTCATGAAGTGAGTTGCGCCCAGTTCAACCAATATCAATACGGCTACACAATGCTAATTGTCAGATCGTAATAGGGTCAATTCCACGGAAACAAATTTACAGTAAAAATGTAAGCGTATCGGACATTTTTCCGTGGAGGAAAAGCACAAGCGAAAAAAAATTACCACTGCAAATCAATACTGCATTTCAGCAAAATAACATGTTTAGAAAGTTAACACGGGAAAAATGGCCCATTTTCAAGAGTGCCCATATTTCTGTACTGTTCGTGGTAAAGGTGCCGAGTTGTTTCGGTTACACACATCATGAGAAATTCCATCCAGTGCACGACCCTTTGTCAGCAAACCACCGCAGAAGTTACTCAAGGCCTATTTATACAAACTACGATTGCACCATTTATATGCCCTGCAAAGAATATTTGCTGCAAGTGAAACCAAAAACTTAAGTCGAAGAGCTGACATTTTTTGCCAAATGAAGTGACACAAAATTAAATGTGATTTTTTTTTGTTTGTTCTCTGTGCAGTCATTGGTGATCAGGCTCGCCGCACACGAGAACCTTAACGCCGCCTGGGTTTGAACCCAGACGACTTCACCTACGTAGCGTCAACCCTACACTCTAGAAATAAAACGGCAAACGGTAACGACGCTCAAAACACGTGCTTATCGGGTCTCTATTTCCTGAGCGTGCACGTGATCAGGCGTGCACGTGATCAGGCGTGCACCGCAGATATATGCAAGCATTCGCTTTCCCCTTTCGTTCAGCGCAGCGTTGAGAGTCGCGGGAATGAGCCGGTGTCCGATGTCCGCACGCTGAGCGTCACACGCGGACGAGCTCGTCCTCGCTGTCCTCGCTCAAGTACGCATCCGTGTCCGCGTCCACCGAGGAGCGCCGCCCCCTAAAGCACGAGACAACCGTCCCCAGGACAAACACCTGCACACACGGTTCAGGGACATCCACAAAAAGGCAAAGATCACCCGAATATCCTACGCAAGCCGTTGGGGGCAAGTGCTGTTAGCGAGCAACAGCCATGAACGTCGGAACGGCACACGAGTGGGTGGGTGGCCAGCACCACGTCCGGGCGTCCGTCTCGCTCGTGGAGATGTTTACACACCGCACAAGATGCCCATTTGAGGCCGAGTCGAGCCAGGGAAGGCCCAGGACCAGTTCTCATATTCCTCACTGGTGTTGTCCGTAAGAGGCAATCGAACTTGGGTCGCCTGGTTCGCCACGCGTGGCGCGCTAACCGCTACACTACCAGTCCCCACACATACACAGGCAGGAAAGCACAAATGCGCGTGTGCGGGGATGCCCACATACACAGGGAGGCACATGCACGCAGGGACGTGCACACCCAAAACACCTTGTTTGTGTTGCTCTTAAATAGGACGTGTGGTTCAGACGTCGCGTCTTGTTGGCAACTTAGTGCTGCTGGCGGAATTGTATTTAATTACTACAATGGTTCATGAGCACGGGGCCAAAAATGCGAGCAACAGACAGCGTTACAGAAATTGCAATGGTTGAATTTAGCAATGTTATGAGAACTTGGGAATCGCCGCTATGGGAAGGAATTTCCCAGTGCAGCAGTGTGGGTCAAGAAGGAGAAAGAAGTGGTTGTCACCTGTAGTGTGGTGGGTGGGTGGGTGAGTATTGTAGTGACCTGCATTGTGGTGGTTGAACACTATGAATGAGATGAAAAAGTCAGTCTGGAAGACCGAGGACTCAACATGGGTGTAGGAATCAATGAGTGAAATTCCTAGGAACAGTAGCCATGGTAGTAGCAATAGAAGATTGATTTTGGGGTGATATGTGAAAGGGAATTCAGCAAGTACATACACATATGATTACATATAGAGCAAATGGCTTCATCATATGGCTCTGCATTTAGAACCATACAAATAATGTAATACTTTATCAAACATAAGCACTCCAACTGAAAGCCCTGAGCCAGTGGTGAAAATTCTACATTCCAGTGACAGGAGTCAGTCTTGCCAAAGGACCACAACTATATGTGACATTCTGTCTTTGATGCCTTTGTCAATCTGCTGCTGGATGAAGGCCCCCCCCCCTCACCACCACACCGTGTGGGTCATAGGTGTTGTTAAAGCATACTTCAGCACGCCGGTCAGTGAGGGTTGGTGGTGTGGTTGTGCGGTTGCGTAGGTACCATTTCAGATATCACTCGCCACTCACGTAAGCCATGGTCGGAAATCTAACCGAGGTCACCGAGTTGATAAAAACATTCCCCTGGACCACTGCGCAATAATAATTTTATATACAGCAAAGATGAACGATACACATAAAAAGCAACATTACAACCATATATCATGAAGATAACAAATATATATGAAGGAAATTGTACAAGCCGGCTGAGACAGATGTACTGGACTGCGTATATTTTCAATGAAAGCGTCTCTCATTCTCGAGCGTGCAGCATTCCTCATCTTTACTGTTGGTCTCAAGCAAGAGATGGAAATTCCACATTCCTAAAGTGGGGACCAATCTGCCCACAAGACAATGACTGTTGGCTCACCAGCAAGTGGTAACTACTTTATTTATCCCAGATGGAGAGTATTGCAGTGTGGCTATTATTTTATTGAACTAAATATTCCGTGTTCTTGATGTGAAAGCTTTAATTCACCTATGCCATTAAATTTCATAAATCGTATAAACTGAAGGCATTTGGTTTTTGTTCATTAAAATATCACCATATGTTTCAGCAGATTTTTCTAATAATAAATTAAACGTCCAAGCCCTGTCACCTCACAAAGCATCTTTCAACACAATTCCTGCTGACACATTACTTTTGTAATTAGCAGGTTTTTATATGGAAGTTTATTGCTCGCACAAAACTATAATTTTTGTTTATGTTGAGGAAAAGGACCACGTATGGGATAAATTAAGCTGACGTGCACCAGCCATTAGGTACTGTAACGGAATGATCGATGGGATTCCCGCGTGTCTGAGGTATCACAAATAATGAGTTACTCACACAAATATGACTCGTTATTTTCCCAAGGAAGCCTTAGCTCTCGGGGCTCTGTGTCAATAAGGCCCTGCAGGGGATATTTGATTCATTAAGTTTTTATTGTGCTTGTTCGTGGAAGAAAACCGCACGTGTGCAAGGAGATGGCACTCGTACTCTTGCCTTGAAATTTGTATCCGTGTCCTACTTGCTGCACTGCATTCTGGGGGCACAGCGCTGCAGGTGGGTACATTACGCACTTGATCTCAGCTCGATCCCACCGGGCCCCGCCCGCTCCAAAGTGCATGACTAAATACTAGGCTGACGTTTCGGGTCATATTCCATCCTCAGAGCTGGAGAGAGAGAGAGAGAGAGAGGGAAGTTTGGCTTACTTGATAAATGGGGAGATGGCACTCGATAAGACTGGTTGCCCTGAAACAACTGGGACATGCGAAGACGCTTTATTGGTTTTAAATTAACAAAAGAATGACATTTATAACACGCCTGATTTTGCAGACGAGTCAACAGCTCAAGATGCGCGGAGCCAAGCTCAGGGCTGCTCGTAAGCCTGACCAAACAGATGTTTCTTGAAAGTGAGAGTGCGTTTCATGTTGCGGATGTGCAAAGGGATATAGAGAGTTCCACACTGAAGGGGCGACAGCAGAGAACCGACACAAGGCTGTGAAAGTTCGAAAACCTTGACACGAGAAGCTTTCTAAGAGAAGACACCGAGCGGTCAAACAAACCCATCGCAAGCCAAAAACAAAAAATGCCATCGACTCATTTACGTGACCCGTGTTTCTTTTTGTGCTAGGGAGCAGCCTCCACTGCCGATGCTGCCCCTCGACATTTTAACCCCATGAGTCAGCCGCCAAGCTTGGCTGTGGCCAGCAGAACGTAGATCTCCATTCGCTCAGTCGTGCTGTGGAAAATGCCACGTGCCACCGTGCCAGGATGAAGCAGACCGAAGCATTAATTAATTAGCTCTGAAAACGGAGCACTCAAGAGCGGCTCGCTTGCCACCCACGCAGATCTCATCCCTCAAGACGCAAGCGTTACGTGTCGCTGCGTGATGCACGGCGTGGGCACAGTCAAAGGAGCCGTGCTGCTGCGGGGCTGGTATCGCGGCAGAAAAGGCGCGTGTACATTTTTTTGGCGCGCATTTTATTTTATTTTTGCATGCGAATACCTTAAGGCGTTTACATTTGTTCGGCCAAAAGTACCCCCGTGTTTCTGAAGTCCAGCGATAAATATCTGAATGAAATCTAAAATACGTACAATGTTATATATATATATAAATATGATCATAAATATATAATATCAATGCATGATAAATATAAATAAAAATATCGCTTTGATAACTCCTCATGTATAAGTGAAATTATACCATAATTGCTAAATACATAAAATCTGAATTAATGTATTCATTCGAGCGATAAGAATGTATATACTCGAATTTAGAGAAGAGATCTGATTTGCATTGCCGTCCTGGTTGAGTGTTGACCATGAAATAACAAGTGCTGCAGAGAAAGTATCTTGCATTCATAGTTTTTTTTTTGCTCCCGCTCTTCAACTAGAAATGTAAGTGCTAATTTACATTTCCATTTTTATAACTTTTCAATAGCACGGGCAATTAATTTCATATTGAGTTTCACTGACGAGAGTGCATATCTCATTCTCGGTCATTAATTAGGAATGAAACAGATGCAGAATATATAGTAATATAATTAATAATCAAGTACAAATAAATGCGGTACTTTGTGAATGCACTGCTGAATGAGGACCTCCCCATGGGATTTGTAATCCTTTTGGTGATGAGGGTTATTTAGCCTTTGTTCAGGTTCCAGATATCACCCATCACGAGAATTAGCCATCATTGTGAGATGAACTCAGCTCACCGAGTTAAGAAATTATTGTCCTCACCACCGCGTCACCACTCTACGCAGAATACATATAAATATATTTGCCAATGTATTACATTTCTTTCCCATGCTTAAAAAAAAAGCAGACTCGATAAATATCCCAAAAGCAAACTACGGTTATAAAAAAACAAACACATCCATGATGACTTAATCTGGTATATGCATGCATGCCTGTGTACACTTACGTATAAAGTGTTAAAACGCCCCGCGTCGCACAGAGTTAAAGGCGGTGTGCATTAAATGATGCCAGTGTATCTGTGTTGCCGCTTCGCCCTGCGCAGCTGTCTGGAGGTTAAAACCAGATAAGCAAAGTAATCCACAATGAATACCGTGAAAATCTCTGGCATCTGCCAACTGCATTGCAAGTAGGACAATCTGAGCAATTAACTAAAACAAAACAGGCGCCGTGCAATTTTGAAATGATTGCGCTATTGGGATCGATAACAAACAAAAGGCCTTAATCAGAAAAGAGCAATTCACGATTGCAATTATCATAACAGGCATTGTTGCCTGAAATTTTGTCGAGCGAAGTATTCAGAGAGAATTATATTTCCATGTTGCCTCCACCACTATGCTTATGATTCATGCCATGTACAGCCTGTGTTCATCCAGAAATGCCTCTTCTCCAAAAAAAAATCTGCATTGAGATGTTCGGCCATCAGCTCATTCTGATTTGTGTTCGTCAGGGTTGTTTGACCATACTTCACCGCGCTGGTCAGTGTGGGTTAGCGATGGTGTGGGCGGTGGGGGAGAGCAGGGAGCAGCACACTCAGATGACTGGTAACTGCTGTGCCACTGATCCACCTTTCCTTGGACTATAATTATCACCGTGATGAGATTGGTTCTCTCTTTTTTGATCAAAGAAAGACTTAAGGGCGGACACCCTCGCTGTCTGTTGTCATGTTGCTGCTGTTGCACTGTGACACCGTTGCCAGGTGTATGATACAGCGTACACGGCTGTTCATTTTGAGGGAAAGAGAAATCCATGACAAGTAAGAGCTTACAGGACAGATGCATTGTAATGAGCAGAGCATATTCAAATTGTG